GACTATTCTCATGGTTTCTGCTCTTAACACACAGTCATCTCAAAAGAGCAGTCATGGAAATACTCTAAAACTGTAAGCCAGATCGTGTCATCCATTATCATAGTGGCTTCTCATCTAACTGAGGCAACAGCCAATATCCTCAGTGGCCAGATAAAACTAGGGTGACCATATAACGTCATCAGATCAGGATATTTCTGAGTTCTACAATACTAAATCTTATTAGACATTGGGAACATAGGCATAAACTGTTACTTTCCCAGGCAAAGCTGCACCTATGGTCACGCTTCTTATAGGACTCCACATGATTTGTCTCCTTCTCTTTTTCTATGGCTTTCTCTTACACTCCTCCCCCAGATGCTCACTTTGTCCCAACCATATTCCCTTTGTTTTTCCTTGAACATATCCAGAACATTCCTCTCCTCATGATATTGCTCTTCTTTCTTCCTGGAATGATCTCTTTAAAAGCTTTATATTAAATATATTTAAAACTTTGATGGGAATTTCAATTAGTCCATAGAATATATGGGGCTTTAGTTCCACAAAGCCAGAAGTCAATTTGTGAATTATTTTTAATTTAATTGATGACTAGCATTATGGAAATAGATAAGATTGTCAAGGAGAGATAGTAGAGTGACTGATGGTACTCTAATGACTAGGTAGAGGAAGATAATGAAGATAGAGAATGCATGGCCTAGAAAAGGGAGGAAATTCACTTAGGATGAGGTATAATGTCCATACATGGTACACATTAGATGCTCAGTAAACATCTTGTGACTAAGTGATTTACTAAATAAGGTAAATGTATGCCTACCTGAATTATGGTACCCGAATTAGCTATGACCACCCTGGAAGTGAGTTATCAAAATCCCAATTCAAGTTTTAGAGTGACATTATGAATCTGTAGTAACTGGTAATAATTTAGTTCCCCCAAAGTCATGCATTTGACCTTTCCTCAGCATACCACAAAAATGTTAACTTAGGTTTCTTTTGGAGAAAGAACATAGTAAATATTTTAGACTGTTTAGTGTCATGCCTTAGAGTATTAGCTGTAAAGCCAAAATGTTTGGGTTAAAATCTAAGCCCTCTCTCTTACTAGTTAGGGGACTTGGGACAACTTACTTAATGTCTTGTGCCTCATTTTCTTTCTTTTCATTTTTCTGTGGGGGGGTTAAATGAAAATACTAGTACTTCATTGAAATAAAGTGGGTAATACACAAATTAATAAGTTTAAAGTGACTAGAACAATGCTTGGCCCTCTAAGTGCTTATCAGTTGTGATTCTATTGCAGGAGATTTCTTCCAAACCACTGAACAGGAGACTAGGTTTATTAACCATCTTATAGTCTGGGAATTCAGGAATTCAATTTCTGTGTGTTTGCTGATCTGAGTTCTCTTTTACCTGAACTAAATATATTTGTCATTATTGTTTATAAAAGATGTAAGTATGACTGTCCCAGACAGCTCATCATTCTCATTATCAATCAGCCACAGACAACATTACTTCTGAATTATGCTATTATATTTTTTTCTACCATGACAGTCCTGCTATCTTGTACAATATTATTCTCACTTTGTTTCTGGTAGTCTAGAGTTGCCGTTTGTTGTCTGCAAGCTCGGATCCTGTCATCTCCATGGAGTCAAGAAGCCTATTTCAGATAGATTTTTCTTCTGCTTCCATCTTTAGACCTCAGACACACAAGGAGATTTTTCAAAGGTGCTGGCATGCAGCCTACCACGTGTTTCTCAAAACCTTACTGGTCCACCTTGAGAATATACTCAGAAGGTGAATGGTTGTGTCACATATGATAAATTCATTCCAATATTTCTATCTTCTTAAGTTGTTGAATTACATTCTCCACCTGTCAGAAAGTTTGTAATGTCTCAAATTCATTCAGTTTGGGCAACCTCTGAGGCCTGAGTTCAGTGCAACCATGTTAATAATTACAATGGTCCCATAACTCTTTGTTACATTGATGTATTGATACATTTTGTCCAAATTTCACAGTTCTTTTTTGTCTAGTATCTCAAAACCCACTCCTACACACATTTCTCAGATTTTAAACAAAATAAATTAATTAAATCCTTCCATTCTTTTTACATGTAAACCTCTTCCTGAGATTGGTCTTTAAATTGCTACCCCCAGAGGCATTCCAGGATCTGATTTTAGTTACAAATCTGGAGACAGTAAGCAGTGGTGAGAATGAGGTCTGAAGAGAACCGGCTTTTTTCTTGTAGTCATCTTGCATTTTAAGAATGGGGGAACAATTACCAGGCAAGGAATGCAGATGTCTAAAGAAACTTAATGTGAAACTGGAATGTTTAAAGATAATTCTTCCATAAACCCCATTTAAATTTCCAGGGTTTTGCTATTTCCGAAATATAGAGAATCAAATAGAGAACTGGAAAATCCATTTAGATTTATGTTGAAATCTGGTGATCTGCACAATGAAGATTTGTATTTGGTTTTTATTATCTCAAACCTTTGGCAAAAATATGAGTTTTTTTATCTTCTTTTCCAGAAAGATGGTATGCTTTTATTTTAGCATAGTCAGGGAAAGGACATAGATTTTCTTCTGTGTCTTAAATCAAGAAGTTAGGGATTTGAACTTGTCATTCTCTTTCTGTTCATCACCATTCACAGCAGCCACATTCACATGCAGTCCTGCAATTTCTCATGAAATTCAAACATACTGTTGTGTAGTAGAGGCCACTTCTCTCCTTAAGCCTTGTCTTTAGAGTGCAAATCACTCCATGTAATCATAAATGATTAATCCTATTTCCATGGACTTCCAAATTCTCATGCCTGGATACAAGCTGGATTTTCTATTTTTACCCCTAGCTAGTACAAACATTTGATCTCAGAGTCTTTCCATTTGCTTGCATTTTTGCTTCCTGCCAGCCCTGCTGTTACCAATTGCTGGCCTAGTCAGGCTTCTTCGTTGTAAACAATCTAAACCAGCTTTAGCTGACTGAAGTAAAAATGTAATTTATGGATTTTTATCTGAAATTCAGAGGAATTCAGAGAAAGCTATAGAATCTAGGTGCATAAAATCAACAAAAATGAAGTGAATGCTGACACTCAGAGCCATCTTCAAAATCATACCCTAAAAGCAACCTGGCAAAGCCATCATAAACACAAGACACTGGATGCCATTTCCGGCACTGTTGGCCTTGCTTCTTTTCATATCTGGCAGTTGCTGCCCCAACTGGAGCTGTGATCACCACCAAACTGGATTTTTAATTCTTTTTACTTATTTACATTACTCTTGTTGGTAGGTGGAATAATGCTCCCTCAAATGTGTTCATACCCTAATTCCCAGAACCAGTAAATGTATTACCTTTTTTGGCAAGGCAAGGAGCAATTAAGGTTGCAGCAGGCATTAAGGTTGCTTACCAACTGACCTTGAAATGGGGAGAGTGTCTTGGATTATCCAATTGGGCTCAATGCAGAAATTTTGTTCCTTATAAGTGAAATAGGAAGACAGAAGAGTCAATGTCAGAATGAGACAACATGAGAAAGACTTGACCAAATATTTCTGGCTTTGATGTTGGAAGTGGCTCGTGAACCAAGGAAGCTGGGCAGCCCCTAGAAGCTGGAAAAAGGAACACAGTTTCTCCCTAGTGTCTCTAGAAAGGAAGACAACCTTGTTTGACACTTGGATTTTAGTCCAGCAAGACTCAGTTTAGACTTTTGATGTTCAGAAATGTAAGACAATAAATCTGTGTGGTTTTAAGTCACTAAATTTATGGTAACTTGCTATAGCAGTAATATGAAATGAATACAACTATCCCCAGATTGAAACCTTCAGGTGTGTGTCTCTAATTTGCCAAGCTCAGGTCACATGGCCACTTGCCTACACCCTAACTCAAGAGAGGTTAGAAAAACAACTGTCTATGGCCTCTAACCTCAACCAAGACTCATTTAACTGTAACTTCCCCACAGTGAGATAGGGCTTTAGAGGCTTGGTAGCAAATAAATAACCAAATAGACAAACAAGTAATTTTAACTCTAGTGTGTTCATTAAACTGAGTATGGGATCAATAACACACAATAAGTTAGAGCTATATATAATGTGCTCTCTATGATATATTAAGTTACAAATACAGGAGGCAGAACATTGTGTTCCAGATATCTTTCTTGGTCTAAAATAAAATTCCAAGTATCTAGTTTATTAATTCATACTATTGATTTGAGTTCTCTCTCTCTCTCTGTCTCTTTCTCTCTATATGGGATATATATGTATGTGTGTGTATACATATATGTATGTGTGTATATATATGTAGAGAGACAGAGATACATATACATATATAGGCAGTACCTCAGGTTCTCATCATTTCTTGTGGTGAGAATACTTACTCTCTTAGCAATTTTCAAAACTATAAAGCATTGTTATATTATTGAATATAATATTCAATATTCAAATGTGGTCACCATGTTTTACAATAGATCTCTTGAGCTTATTACTTCTATCTTACAGTAATTATGTATCCATAGATTAAAATCTCCCAAACCCACCCCACCTTCAGCCCTTGGTAACCACCATTCTATTCTACATCAATGAATTCAACTTTTTTAGATTCCACATAGAAATGAGATCAGATCATGTGGTACTTGTCAAGTTTTCTTAATATCAATGTGTTTCACCAGACCCATATTATAATTACTTTCTGATCAACTATCAAACATCTTCCTCCCTTATTATTCCACTTTGGGGACACCTTGATTTACTATGCTACCATTTGCAGGGACTGATTCTTCTAGACAGAATGCCCTCAGCGTTCAGTATGATCCATGGGGGTTCCAGTAAATATGATCTAAAAATCAGCAGGATTCCTCACTGAGCACATCTCTATTCTGAACATATGTTATTTTATATTCTTAAAAGTTATCGCATTATTAATCTATAGAGTTAGAATTCAATCTGCTTTTTCAAGATTACTGGAGTTCCTTAGTGTAGACATGCATTTTTTAAATCTTTGAAAAGTGACAAAAAAACAAGAGAATTTTAATATGATATTTTATTATGGGTGTCTGTAAGGAAAAAAAAAAGATCAACAACCACATACAAGCTTACAAAGTTAAATTTCAACACATCCTCTATGCTAGTGTGACAAAAGCAGCCCCATTATTCGGTTTTTATTGTTGACCTTTACAGGATGAAGGGGAGAATCCTCCGTGGCATGCCAATTAAACTTTCTGACAGGAGACATGTACAGATTTTGTGCATTTATGTTCTGAATGCAAGTCAACAATTCTGATCTAGAGTTTAAAAGTGAAAGTACATTAGCACCATAACATGCGTCTTTAAAACCTTCCCAAATATTAGTAATCTTGACCAGCAATGACAAGAAAAAAGAGAAGCACCTTTAGAAGCAGTTGATATCCAAGATTAAAATAATTGTGGCTTTAAAAATATTTCTTGAAATTCTTGTACTACACTCTTCTTTTTAAACCAATCTTCCAGGAGATTAATCAATGAAATTTATAAGTTTTATCAACTTATAAAATTTTTTTTCGTCTTCTGGGACTCATAGAATACAATCTGTGTTTCTGATCAGTTGAGGTAGTTAAAATAGGGAGGGCTTTTCTAATTTCATATTTGACTATTTCAGAAAGAAAGGTTATCTTTTACTAGTGAGCACAGTCATTGCTCTGCAGATGGGCTAGGATTCAAAGAATATAACACAGTGTTGTTATCGTTAAGAGTGTTGAAGTTTATTTATTATAGCACCATTGAGACATTTTGAAATTGGAATTGGTAAAAAAATAAAACAAAAAGCATTTGAATTGTATTTGGTGGAACAGCAAAAAAAAAAAAAAAAAAAAAAATAGTATCAGTTTTCTTTGTCAAATTATACTCTTTCCAAACATTTTGGAAATAAATAACTGGAATTTTGTTGGTCACTTGTACTGGTTGACAAGATTAGAACAAGAGGAACACATATGGAGTTAAATTTTTTTTGTTGGGATTTCAGATAGAGTTTGGTTTATAAAAAGCAAACAGGGCCAACGTCCACACCAAATTCTTGATCAGGACCACCAATGTCATAGGGTGCAATATCTACAATAGGTAGTCTCACAGCCTTGCGCGTTCGATATTCAAAGACTGTTTTGCTCCATTCCCCAGTGTGTTTCTGTAAAAAAGGACAAAATGCAAGCGATCATGACATTACAATTACTTAAATGACTCTGACTGATTAGGTTAAAAAACACCTTTTTACTCTAAAGGAGCTTTCATTGTGCCATGTTATTCATATATATGAGACCTGCTCCACTTCAAAGTTGTAATCTTCTTAGTTGATAAGCATTATTCTTAAACAAATGCTTCATAGGGATTCTTAGTAAACGCAGCAGGGCAATTGCTATAGACCAGTGCATCTTCAGGAGGCCTGGTTCCAGCCATTGTTAACAGGTTTATAATTGGTTTATTAAAAAGAGGATAGGTCTCTCACAGTGAAATTTGCTAATATTAGAAGTGAGTTTTCCCTTTGTTCACAAATAACAATAACAAAGGAGAGATTTGAAGTTAACCTTTAAAATTTTTAAAAGCAGATATTTCAGATTGAATTAATGTGACAGATATTATTCAAAACATACAGACTATCCCAATTATCTGATAAAGTTTGCATTATGGATTTAAATTTTAAATGCTTTTATTTCAACTGGTTTTCATCTGAAGGCTAAGATCCATTCACTTTTTGTTGCATTTAACATTCCCTGCAATGAATCAGTAGATGCAATGTATGTAATTCATATCAAATGCTATCTTTATTTCATCCTATTAATTTTATTTCTTTTATTCAAAATAATTTGCATGATTAAACTAAAATGCTGACTGCATTATGACTTATATTGAGAAAAATGTTTCTTACCGTGCAACCATCCTCCAGAACTGTGTAGGTGAATTTGCTATTTCCTTCAGCCTTGAATTCACCTTCATTTGACCCCATCAGCTTCAGGGCCTTCTTTACATTTCCACTGGCTTGATCCATGTACGCAATGCTATTTTTGCAGTGATATGTGATGTTCTGGGAAGCTCGGCTGGAGAGAAGTCGAAGGAATGCCAGCTGCACATCAAGGACATCTTCAGGAAGTTCAGGATTGCCATAGCTAAACTGTAATAGGGAACAAATAAAACAGATCAAACATTTTAGTTGCAACTGCATGCAAGAGATTCATGTAGTATGTGTATGCTTATTGTAATATGGGCTGTTTATATATTTTATGTATGAATATTTTATGTGGGAACATATTTTATTTGCACGACAGAGTAAAAAAAGTCTTAAGATGTGAAAGAAAGGTGTCTGCATACAAAAATAATTTAATCTAACTGAGCTTTTATTGAGAATAAAGTTACAAAAGTATAGTCACCTGGATACATAAAATCATTTGAGCTCTTCTAGTTATTAATTATTAGGTTGGTGCAAACATAATTGCATGTTTTGCCATCACTTTCAATGGCAAAAACTGCAATTATGTTTGTACCAACCTAATAACTTTTCTTGTGATGAACATATAGGAAGAATACAAAGGATATAGGGATGACTTATTTAAAAAAAGGTATATCCTTTCTTACCTGAAAACCACCATCCATGGACTCTCCAAACCAAATGTGTTTCTTCTCAGCACCAGAATCTGTCCACCAGTGTTTCCGTGGAACATTCAAAGGACTGGCACTTATGCATGTTTCCCCAGTTTCCATATTACAGAATACCTTGATGGCATCCAATTTGCATCCTTGGTTAGGGTCAACCCAGTATTCTCCTGAATAGTCACAAAAAAGAAGAATGGGAATTCGTTATAAAATCCAGTAATAAAGTGATTTTGTTTGTTTACCTGTAAAGGCATTCATAATGTTGACTGCTAATGTGACTGCATTTTATGTATAGAATGATAGAGAAACTTTTGGATTGAAATTGTTGAGGTAAAAGAGTTAGCTATGACTACAGAAAGCACTGAAATAAAATGCAACATCTTGGTTTCTATTCTGAATGATACACTAAGCTAAGACCTTTTGATGGCTGTATAATATTTGCAAGTCTCTCCTTTTTATAAAAAAATGATTATTATATGTAATCTTGCTTAATAATATAAGCTGGTTGTCTAATCCAGATTTATTCCAATAGTTCTAAAGCTGAAGTCCCTGTGATTGATGCTTGTCTCCTATTTTAAGTAATTTCTAGAAATGACTCCTAGCGAAGGCAGTGTTCCATGTCAAGGTATTTGAAAACTTGAAATAATTTTGCTTTTCAGAAATATTTAATCCAATATATGCAAAACCTTAAACTATTACAATATTCTATTTAATTTTATATAGTATTCTGAAATTTTTCATGTGTTTAATTTGAAAATTTTAATAATTAGATTCATTGCAATAAGTAAATAGTATAATAATCAGATTATAATTGTCTACATCAAATTATGTATATTTAATCCTGAGAAAAAAATATATATATTACTTTATACTCAAAAAACTTATGATTTATACTACAACTTCTATAAAACAGTCTTTGTATTTTTCTATATTTGGCATGTCCTGAAGTTATGTTATATTTTACATCTGCAAAGTTTACTCTTTTATATGAAGCAGTTTCAATTCAGTTAACTTTCTTAGAGTACTATTTCAGCTTTCCATTGAAAGTGGGTGTTTTTTCGTTCTCATTCTAATCTAAACAACTTTCTCTGTAATCCTGTTGCCATGAAGACGAAAGACTCCCAAACATACCACTCTTGAGTTCAGGATGGCAGAATTTCAGGTCTCTGCAGTTTCTAGCAGGGTTTTTACGAGTACCATCAGGACTAATGAGGCTTTCTATTTGTCCGTTAACAGACTTGAGTGAAGTCATAATCTCATCGGTGTTGATTTTGAAATCCATTGGTTCATCTCCATAATATGGGGCAAAACCGCCAGCTTTTTCACCTCCAACCCCAGCAATGGCAGCGGCTCCAACACCACCGCAGCAAGGACCAGGAGCACCAGGAGGTCCAGGAGGGCCTGGTTGCCCTGGGTGGCCTGGGGAGCCCTAGAATGAGTAAAACATGGATCATTGAGGTATGCATGTTTGGGTGCCACTCTAAGAATACATTGCCAGTTCAAGAAAATGCCTTAAAAACAATTCATTCATTGTGTCATCATAATTATTTTACTAAAGATTTATTTGGGTGCTTTTAGGGTCACGTGATCACCGATTTATAATAACTGCAATTCATTATCAAGAAAGGTATTATTCCACTATGTAAGAATCAGTAGTGTCAGAGCACACATTTTCTCTATCATTCTTCCTTCTGGATGAATGATGTAAGCAAACACCTATGAGCTACAATTCTAATATTGACATGACAAAGGGGAGTGTAATTTGTTGGGATAATAGTTTTTATTTCATTTACCCCAAAGGCATGGAATACAAAGTATTAGGAATGATAGTATCACTAACAAAATAGTAACCATGGAAGCTGTTTGAGAAGTAAAATGCGCTGCATAAACGCTGATAATTATGAATGTTGTAATTCCAAGATCTCTAGTGTGATAACAATGCAGACAAGGTTTGTTTGGTTAATTGGGCAGAAGTCATTATTCTGATACCATGGATACCTGATCAAATCTGTAAAAAGATATTTTTCTCCTGTTATAGTGTGGTAGAAACATTTTCAATGTGGTGGAGAATGTCTTAAAGTCATGGTTCATTTTCTAAATTGAGTGGTTGCATTGCATCTCACTCACTATTTCAATTTAAAGATAATGCAGTGGTTCTGAAAACTGGAAGATTATAGCAAATTAAATGCACATACATTTAAGTTATGTCTTACCTCAGATCCTCTTTCACCTCTGTTACCTCGAGGCCCTGGTGGTCCAATGGGCCCTGGATGTCCACTGGTTCCATCTTTGCCAGGAGGTCCACTGGGTCCAACAGGTCCCTAAGAAAGTATCATGACATCACAATGCCAGAATATCTTTCTGAAGTGCAGACATGTGAAACTGGTATCTTTCTGTGCTACTTACTCTGGGGCCTGCAGGGCCTGGACTACCAATTGCACCCTGCTGACCAGCAGGGCCCTGGAAGGAGAGAAGTGTGCATATGAGTGAAGGCCTTAAAAAGCACTGGGAAACTGTACATTCAAGATCAGATCAAGAAATATGGGGATTATGATGAAATATTTTTTTCTTTCTTTAATCTTCCCATTGTTTCATGCTGATTGTTGTTTCAAATTAGCCTCAAATCCGTTTCTCATCTCTTCTAGTACGTATTTTTAGAGATAGAAAGCTTTCTTCTCTTAATCTCTAAAATTTGTATACATTGGAGGGATTCTTCAACAGAATGAATGCACTTACTGGAGAACCTGGGGCACCTGGATTACCAGGGAATCCTCGATGTCCTTTAATGCCATTAGCTCCACGTTCACCTGTTTCACCTTTGTCACCACGTGGGCCTTGAGGACCCTTTAAAAACATATTTTGAATTGAAGTCATATACACACATACATATTGGAAAAATAAAATAGAATTTATAATAATTAAGTCTATTTTATGGCTTTCTATCAGCTAAAAAATCCCCCATCAACAGATACTTCAGATATGAAATAAGATTGTTTTTGTGGTTGTTTTAATTTTGGACTGACAATGGCATAGATCCCTAACAACTGGTGTTTCCATCATTGGCTCCAAAGAACTTTTAGATCCTGAACTGCTTTCCGTATCATCATCATTAAAGGAAAGTTTATATTTGTACTATCTATCATATCTCTCTCTCTCTCTCTCTCTCTATCTATCTATCTATCTATATCTATCTATCTACCAATAGAAAGAACAAATACATATGTAAACTTACAGGAGCACCTCGGGAGCCAGCAGGACCAGGAGCACCAGCAGGGCCGGCAGGGCCCTAAGATGAAAACATTCAATGGAGCAAACATACACGAATTAGTTTTATGTGTTGACACAATTTTGTTTTCAAAAGTAAATAATTTCATTATAATAGAATTATAGTATGCATGCAATTATTGGAAGTTAATATTGTTTTTGCCTTCAAAGTGCTAAAGCCCTGTTTACAGCCTTATCAAGGGATCTAAACAGAAAAGCTGGGCAAGAGCCCTATTAATTCGGCCTTGCATTTACCCAGCAAATAAATAGCTGGTCTGATTAATACGATTTCGGGTTTCAGTAATAAATTCTTTATTGACTACTGCCAGGTACTTCTGGTATTTCTTTACTAACACATTTGTCTAAGGAACAACTAGCATTAAAACTGTAAAAGAAATGATAGTGGATATTTTGGTTGGCAGATCTGACATTCTATCTTCCACCTATAAATGTCTTTATTGAAGGAAACGGACAAACAAGAGAGATGATGCTTCTGGGAACTCACACTTTCTCCTCTGTCACCACTCTTTCCAGCTGGACCGACAGGACCAGGTGGGCCTGGATGACCAGGAGCGCCAGGGGCACCAGGAGAGCCGTTTTCACCACGATCACCCTGTGAACAAATTCACAGGTCCAAAATAAACATGATGATCACTTATTTTAATTACAGAAATCTATTGCACATGTGTTTATTGTACCTTGCCACCAGGAGATCCATCTCGGCCTGGAAGACCATCTGATCCAGGGTTTCCCTGATTAAAAAATGAGAAAGGAAATGAAGTTTCTTGAAACCTTCCAAATGCCATTTAATCATGCATTCTCAACAGGGCAATATAATTCTCAAGGGGGTGAAAATGGTTCTTGGGGGTAAGAAATCTTAGATATCACAATGGGGGGTAGCCCTTCAAAGGGTCACAATATCCAAGCAGATAGTTAGTATATTCATGGAGGAGAGGTGACTAGAAAAATAATATCCAAAAAGAGTCTTTACAGACCTCTAATAAATAAAAGTTTAAGAAATAGTGATCTAAACTATTAATGGAAATCTACAGTTTAGTTTGCTTTAATCATTCCACATTGTATACATATATTAAAACATCACATTGTACCTTATAAATGTATACAATTATGGTTTGTTAATTACAAATAATATTAATTTTAAATTCTTTAAAAATAATAAAAGACTAATCACAGATAACTGCAGAATATTTTCACTCAGAAAACATGTGAATTGTGGTTCTCCCCACTAACTTTTATCCTAATTTAGTTAGAGATAATATTTTCTCCACTAATGATTAGTCACTGACTAAATATTAATGAACAAGAGCTTTTAAGTCTATTCTAAGTTGTAATGAAAGAATTTATTAGAGAGAGAAGAACTTTGCTGTGTGGCCATATTTACACTCTTAGACATTAAGGCTCAATTTCACCTTTGCTTAAATAAATTATCAAATTCTACCTGGCTGGTTGAATAAGAACTGCTACTCACATCTCTTCCAGGTTCACCAGCTGCACCAGCCAGACCAGGAAGACCCTGGGGTCCAGGGGGACCACGTTCTCCACTGAGACCGTTAGCTCCTGGTTTCCCACTTTCACCCTGTATACAAAGGAACGAAAAATATTTTGTTTAACTTAAGAAATCAATTAAAATGGCGTTATCAGATATCTTTATTTTCAGGTAAAAATCTTATTTAATTTTTATTGAATTTGAAAATTAAAACTATGCCTGTTATGGGAAAAAGTTTCGGGGAGCAAGCTTGTTGCATTTTCTAACTTGCTCAGTGACTCTGGATGGCAAAGGGCTGAATAGTCACATTGATTATCTAATTCAGAGTACTGTACATTCTAATCTGAGATGAGTACATAGACATGATTATTATAAGAAAAACATAATAATGAGCCATCATGAAACTAGAGGTTTATGGTGACCCTTAAAATTAGGTTACTTGTCTCTATCTGAAGAATATAGACTTACTAGAAATGTCATATCAATTGGATACATGTAAATATTAAATGTTAATTTTATGACAATAGTACATAACATTTTGTTGAAAGAAGTACTTAAAGTGTTATAATACGAGCCCTAATAAAAATGCCATTTTATTACCCTGTTTACCAAATGAGTGTTTTAGGTGCCAAGCACGAGAACGTTATAGGAATGTAATACTAGTGAAAGAGAGTCAGGAGTGCCAGGTGACTTGCATGGATGGATAACTAGCATCAGTGAAAGACTTTCCTAGATCTATAAGATAACACTATTTTCCATTCAAAACTGACAGTCAACAAATTGAAGAATATCCACAAGTTTCCTAAAAGAGGTGTTTCAGATGGCAATGTTGTTTTTGTTATATTAATTTATTTGTGCTTATATTCAAGGTTGGTCTTTGATATGCCCCGTTTTGTGTTCTGGAGCCATTTATTAAAATATATGCTTTTAAAAATCTAAAAATATAAAAAAAATCTCCTGGCTAATTTACTCCAATGACAGAAAAACTTTTCATCCTTAATATGGTTAAGTGATTTCTGAAGGCTAGCAAAGGAAGCAAGAGTGTAGTGGAAAATGACTATACTCACCTTGACACCCTGAGGGCCAGGGCTTCCCCTAGGACCTGGCATGCCTGGTGGTCCTGCAAGACCCCGTGCTCCAGTAATCCCAGCAATTCCAAGTGGGCCTGGAGCTCCCTAATACAGATAATGAAGACTTAGCTCATCTTTATGTGACAATCTTTTTCTCTAATCAATTTGTGATAAAAACCAAAATAGTACAATCAACTTACAAAAATGAAGTTACTTACTGGGGGACCCTGGGGACCAGGTGATCCCTTCTCTCCTGGTTGACCAGCATCACCTTTTGGTCCAGACACTCCAGGGCTGCCAGGAGCACCTGTGTTACCCGCAGGACCTGGGGGCCCATCCTTGCCTGGAGAACCGCCGGGACCTGGGGGTCCTGGGTTACCCTACAAAGAATTTTTTGAAATTTGAATATTTATAATAAAAAGTGCATTTTTTCTTTCCTTTCTTACTTCAAATAATTTTATTTAAGACTTACTAGAGAAATAAGTAGCAATGTGTAAGTTTCTCATCCTATACATATGTGAATGCTCTTTCTGAAGTGTATGATGAGAAAATACTTTAACAATTACTTACATTATTACCAGGAGGACCAGGAAGACCACGAGCACCAGGGAAGCCAGCAGCACCCTGCGAAATGGTAATATATTTTTGAATTTCAAAAGTAGAACAAACAACTACACAACAAACAAAAGTATAATGTGTGGTATGATCTACATTGTACCTGAAAGTCATTTATGGTTTGCTTTTTCCCCTTGGAATTTACACATTACTCATGTATGAATGAGAGATTACATTTTTTACATTCTCTTTATGGATGTAGTGTCTCAAGTGCAGCTTTTATACAGGTTGATATGAATACTTTTCAATAATAGTTAAGAGGATCAATACTTACGGGTCCACCAGGACTGCCACGTTCACCTTTGACACCTTGAGGACCAGGAGGACCCTATATGAAATGGAAGGAAGGTATGTAAGAATAGTGCCAAAATCAAAATTTGGGAAAAGCATTAAGCCTTTGAAAACCAGGAACTCTATGAAGCGGTTAAAATAACTTTTAGACTGCTGGTGCTGAGATTCATACTTCAACTGTATTCATATAAAGATTATACTCTTGCCACTATGACATGCTATCTCAGTATAAAATATTAAATTACTGATAAACCTTCATGTTTTTCCATTAGAACACTTAGCACTTAGAGAGGGGGGAGAGGGAGAGAGAGAGGAAGAGATACATAAATAGATAGATAGATGATAGATAGAGAAAGAGGAGAGAACTTACAGCAGGTCCAGAACCTCCAGGGGGTCCTGCAACTCCAGGAGGGCCTCCTTCACCTTTCTCACCCGGAGCCCCTCTTTCTCCTTTACCACCAGGCTCACCATTCTGTCCCTACATGCAACAACAACAATAATCTCTCAGCTGACACTCTTTATGATATACTTGGATTATTATTATTTCTCTTCAGAATATAGAATTCTTCAGATGTAAGAAGTTGAAATAAAATTTAAAAACAAGGCTCTCTGAAGACATGACAAAACAAAGTCAATCAAAATATTTTCATGATCAAAGAACATGACCAAGAAAGCATGAACTGTACATTATTTGCCATTAGGGATGGAGGAAGTCTCTCTAAGGATTAAACATTTGAAAATCAGCACCAGTAAATTTCTTTGAGAAAGACTGGGTTTAAGAGAAAATTTTAATTAGTACCAACTTATAATGGAAGAACTTACAAAAATTCAGAGTGCATTTCAATCTATGGTGCTGCTTTAGTTCATTACCTAGTCACAAAGGCAGGACAGGTGTTTTTATTCCCATCTTTTAAAGAGCAGCAATAGGGGTAAAGTAAAACAAAATAGGGGTACAATAATCTTATAGGGAATGAACAGCTAAAATGGGACTAGAACCCAAACTTGACTATACTTCTGTAATTTTTCTGCAAGATAGAGATCCTGGGCTATGGAACATGTCTGTGTAAATATTCACACTTACAGGAGCACCAGGGAAGCCAGCAGGTCCTGGAGGGCCAGGTTCACCTCTCTCACCCTAAAGAGAAAAACATCCTCCTTAGTCACAGTGAAGATATCCCACGGGGAGTATGTGTCATCTCCTTTAGGCAGGAAATGTCATCTTATCATCTTATCTTTTCTTTCCTTTAAGCAGGAAATGTGCAGAGTAGCCAGTAAACTTCTGAAGACTTTGCCACTTCTCAATAAAATTAGGAGTAGAAAATACCAGAACCATTGATTCCTTCTGTCTCCCACTGTGATATTATTTGCAAGAAAAATAGTTTGAGAATTTTAAAGTATTTAACACATTTATATATTTATTTATTTATTTATGTATTTCAATATATGGTAGAGCCTTAACTGAAAAATTAACTAAATGATTTATTTTTAAAAAACATTTGCTAAATATCTTTCCAGTGTCTTAAATCCTAAAGGTCAAGAATTTTAAATCCAGAAGGAGTCTCAGGCAAAGATTCTATAGGCTTAAGAAATACCTAATTACAAACATTTACTACTTGTGCAATTCATGTATTTTTTCCGAAGTTATTTTGGAAAGAAATCCTGATTTAAAACGGTCTCTTGTGAACGTTAGATTTAAGAAATTTAACATTCCCTGGCATGCTATATGGTTCCTGAAGATAGTGTCTCCAAATTGAGGCTCAGGGAAATGGGGGCAGAATTGCTAAAAAGGGAAGGATAAGTAGCTGCTGTCTGTATGGGGTTAAAAAGCATGTTGAGAATGTCTTTAACACTTACAGGGCCACCACGAGGTCCAGCTATACCTGGAAGTCCAGGGGCACCACCTTCACCCTGGAAAAAGAGAAACCATGTCACTTTCCTGCATCCAAAAGACGGAGATATTTTCTTTTCATTTCCAGACAGTATTAAGTGCTACCTTATCTCCAGGCTGGCCAGCTGGGCCAGGAGGACCAATAGGACCAGTAGGACCCTAGAGGAAATAAAAATATTTTTTAATTTTGAAGATGCAAATATCGTTTTCTGCATTAATCAAACAGAAAGTATATAGACATAGATACCTAATAAACTAGATAACATACTTTTTAAATTTTTTATGGCTTGAATGCTGTGCTTTTCACTCAATGTGTAAATACTGCAGAGCTCAGTAAACACAGGACTCTTTGGGGATAACTCTGGGAGAAAATAGGATTCAGCAGTGGTTTATTGATTCGTTTATCTTTATCTCCATTGTAGAAGATGAATAGGATGTCATGTAAGATCTTACAGTAATGTCTTTTTAAATTAAAGTACATTTCTGTATTAAATTGCTTGATAATTTAAATGTTTTCTCAAAGTATCATTGTACATATTAAATTTTTCAACTTGAAATTTTCAAATAGTTGTTTTACGTATATTACAAAAGTGAAGTATTGAGCACTTTTTTTACTTGAATGATGGCTTATCTACTTAATCTGTCAAAAGTGAGGCATTTATGAATTTCTTTAAGGCAACTACTATATAAATGTATTAAATAAATTACTTATAATCATATTTAGAAGATGTTTTTTGTTTTGTTTTTGACTTTTAGTTTGAATTATAGATTCACAGAATGTTGCAAAGGAATATGCCAGAAATTCTGTGCACCTTTCTCCCAGCCTCCCCTAATGTTAACATCTTACACAACTATAGTATAATATCAAAACTAGGAAATTGACATAGATACCATCCATAGAGCTTGTTCAGATTTCACCAGTGATACACGCACTCATTTATGTGTGTGTGTATGTGGCTCTATAGAATTTTATCCCATTTGTAGACGTGCCTGACTACCACCACAATCAAGATACTCAAATGTGCAATCACCATAAGACTCCCTGTGTCATGTCTCCACAGCCACATCCATCTCTCTCTTTCTCATTCCTAACTCCTAGCAGCCACTAATCTGTTCTACATCTCTAAAAGGATGTTATTTTGCAAATATTATGGGAATGGCATCATGCAATGTATATCCCTTGGAGACTGAATTTTCTTCACTGAGTATGTTGTCCTTGAGGTTTATGTAATTTGCTGTGTGTACAGCATCAATTGTTCATGCCTTTTTGTTGCTAAATACTATTCCATAGTAAGACTGCACCATAGGATTACAATTTTTGAATATAAAGTCTATTAATTAGGAGTACTTACTATATTGAATTGTGATGACTTTTAGTTTCTTAATGAGCAGTATTGATTATCTTAAATTTCAGTGATTGTCTCAGATTTTAGTGACTCACAAATGCTAGTTTGTGACCTTTATCATACTTTTGAGGTTTTTCATTCTTTGGTCACTGTAGACCTATCAAGTACATAGATATAGACCAGGAATTTAATTATAAATCAAGTTATTTGGGTCTTTTTATGCTCAAAAGGTGGTAAACTATCTAATTTATCTTGAGTAGTTTTTGGAAAAAATAAAAGTGGAAGTGCAGGACTGTCCCATATGACATATAGGTAAGGCCTGTTTCTCCTCACTGAGAATGCTTACCCTTGGACCATCTTTCCCTGGGACACCATCAGCACCTGGACCGCCTGGTTCACCCTGTCAAATAAAAGCCAATGTCATCAGATTCAAAGTATCTTCAGTGAAAATTGGCCAAGAAGAGGAGTAACCCTCAGGATTTGTTGGGATATATATTGGGTGTTCTAATTCATTGTTGCTCTAGGAATCCATCTTAAATTTCACTTACTATAAAATGATAATATTAATTTTGAAAATACAGTTGATCACTTTCCAGGAGTGTTGCTTTTTTTTTTTTTTTTTTTTTTTTTAACCTACAATGACTGATTTATGAAACAATTAAGAGAAAACAAGTCACTACCTTGTCACCCTTTGGACCAGGACTTCCAGGACCTCCTCTTTCTCCAGGCATTCCTTGCAGACCAGGAGTACCAGCAGCACCAGGTGGCCCAGGAGGACCAGCAGCGCCCTGAAAATAAGTGAGAAATAATAAATGATCAGAAGGAAATCAAATGTATTTTTTAAACCTAGGTGAATGGAATTCTGTGGAGTCACCTTTCCTCCTTCGGGACCAGGGGGACCAGCTCCACCTCTAAGTCCTGGGGCCCCTGCCAATCCAGGAGGTCCACGTTCACCAGGGGCACCAGCATCACCCTGTGATAAAAATACGTAAATAACCATATTAGACAATCCAAAGCTAAAAACAAAACACCTTAACTTGCATCGTTTTGAATCAGGCCACTAGGTTATTATGTTGTGAACAACCTGGAAATTTGTATACTCATAAATAGTTGAACAGCTGGGTGGGAACTGGAAGCTTAAAAAAGTGTCCAAAAGAAAACTTGGATACTTAGTCTGCTTAAGTGTGAACTGTCATTGAAATACTTAGTATTTTATTCATAAGGGCAGCATTTTAAAGTTCTTTTACCAAAACAGTTTTCCTACATAGAATCAACATATTGGCAATATTTTTCTATTTGAAATTTTAAGCTCATATTTGATTCTGTAGTGATTATGAATGTCAGAGAATTGGACCTTCCAGATTAAAGCAAATTTAATGTATTGAAAATGTCTTCAGTTTCTCTAAGTGTACTTAACAAACCTTTGCAATGATGCTCTTTTAAAGAAAGAGTATTTTCAGATTAAAGCAAATTTAATGTATTGAAAATGTCTTCAATTTCTCTAAGTGTACTTAACGAACCTTTGCAATGATGCTCTTTTAAAGAAAGAGTATTTTCACTTGATATACAAAAAATATACTACTAATCAATTGCTGTATAACATGCTGAAGAAGGTAGAGAATGAATTGAAATACTACCTTGCCTCCTGGAGCTCCAGGTGAACCGGCATCACCCTTTGGACCCTAGGAGATTTGCATTATATGATTAGGTCCATATCAGAATGCATTTTATGTAAATATAAGCAAAATACACATTTGTCATGTTGGCATACTGCATAATTTTTCTAATCTTGAAATTATGAACTCTCTATTTTATGGTAAAATTCAAACTCTATGTAATAGTTATCTTTTAAATAATTTGTCTTTGTTTTGATAATATTTCAAAACTAAATGTTAAATCTCAAATATCATGACATAAGAAAATTAAAAAGTTAATAATTGACAAACAATTATTATATATTCTTTTTGTTTCTGAGTTTTGAAAAATGAAACGTAACTTACTGGTTCCCCAGGTTTTCCATTTTCTCCTGGAGGACCACCTGTACCAGGCAAGCCCTAGAAACAATCATAGTTGTATCAGGTAATTACCTCAAACATGGCTTATAGAAAAGCTTCTCATACGTACACATGTTTCTGCAAGATATTTGAAAAAAGTTTCAGTGGTCTTTTAGGGGTAGAAACATTGTGCCACTCAAAATCCAGTGACACATATGTGATAATCATATCTTACAAATCCGTGTTCATCTCTCTTTGTTCTTTCAATTGCTACACATAAAAATTTATTGACAAGCATGGCAGGATAGACTTGGCTATACGGATTTATATTATAATAAAAATAAGTGTAAGCAAATAGAATTACTTGAGTTTCATTAATTCTTTTAAATAACTTATTAAGGTGCTCTGGAATGGACATGGAAGATATGCCTATCTATTAACATTGCCTGATATTTTATTTCCAGATGAAAGACGGATTCACAAGGTAAGCTTCAGATAAATTATAATCTGTTAGGGACACAAAAAATTTGATGGTCAGCTATACCATGACATTGAAATAACAAGTTCTTACTTGTAATCCCTGTGGACCAGGGGGTCCTGTGTCTCCTTTGTCACCACCAGGCCCCTAGAAAAGTATAATGATACACTCTGTTATAAACATCCTTTTATATTTAGTCTACAGTATCCATTTCAACAGGCTTGTTGCTTAATTATAAAAGTAGTGATGTGAAGAAAGGGGAGGACCTGGACCCAAAGCACACATGTACACTCTAAACTCAGTGCTAACATCTAGCTAGATAACTAGGTCAGCAAGTTGCATCATTGCTTTGGTAAACTATAATAACATAGTGTCAGAGATTATGTAATTTTTGAAGCATTCTTCCTGCCCCACCTCCACCCTATTTTCATCTCCAATTTTATGTGAGTGAACTTACAGTAGGCCCTGGGGGTCCCTGAGGTCCAGTTTCACCATTCTTTCCAGGAGGACCCTAAAAACAAGAACAGTTAGGGAAGCAGAAATAATACAGATTACAGAGAGAAGTCACAAGGTTGGAGATGAATACATCTATTAGAAGGCTAGAAATAAATTGATGAAAGCTACATACCTGAGGGCCAGGTCCTCCAGGGCCACCTCGTTCTCCATTCTTACCAGGAGCACCCTAAAGAAGAAGTGGTCAGTATTTACTAATTCTCAAAGGGCAATAACTAATCATATTATCGTCTCATATATACATATATATACATATTTTTGAGATGGAGTCTTGCTCTGTCACCCAGGCTGGAGTGTAGTGGTGCAATCTTGGCTCACAATAGCCTCTGCCACCCGGGTTCCAGCGATACTCTTGCCTCAGCCTCCTGGGTAGCTGGAATTACAGGCACATGCCACCATTCCTGGCTAATTTTTGTATTTTTAGTGGAGACTAAAACAACCTCACCATGTTGGCGAGGCTGGTCTCGAACTCCTGACCTCAGGTGATCTGCCTGCTTCAGCCTCCCAAAGTGCTGGGATTACAGGCGTGAGTCAGTGCACCCGGCCTGTCTCATATGTTTTATCTGCCTGCTCCATACACACACATACAACCATAACCAATTATATATTTAGCTCCCTTCCTACATGCAATTTGATTTTCCTATACTCCTCCATGCTTTGAAGAGGAGACTGAGTTTTGACCACTTCTATACTCCATATGGAAAATAAAAACCTTCCAGTCAAGTATTTATTGAGGAAATTAATGAAGGAACTCACATCATTTCCTTTAGGACCGGGGAAACCCATGACACCGGGCTGACCTCGGGGACCAGATGGCCCAGGAGGACCTGGTCGACCGCTTTCTCCTTGACTTCCCTAATAAGAAAAAATTACATTAATAAAGGTTTGATAAAGATAAGATTAAAACATACCCTCTATATAGTGTATATATATATACTATACACACACTCAAGGATAGGCCAACATATACATTCCATTTTAACTGGCCTTTTAAAATGAGATTTAAAAAATGTACATACGGGAGGCCCTGGTTTCCCATCACTTCCTGGTCCTCCTGGACTTCCGGGCATGCCCTGAAGCAAAGAAGTCAGTTGTTAGGTGATTTTAAATGAAATAATAAAAAATTACAACATATACTATTTGTACAATTCGGATATTTTCACTTACATGTGAAGCCTCAGATTTGCACATCTTTTTTCCTGTCTATAAAGTATCTAAGGCAAGTGTTCTTTGTTCTGTTCTCCTTGAACTATCATGGCTTAAGTTTACTTAAAAGAATTTTGTTTTGTTCGGGGCCTTACAAAATATGTAATCTGATTGATTTCAGTTGCTTTTGATCTGTCTTCATTTGTCTTGCCTTTCTTCTGTCTAAATTAAAGTGTCATTCAAACAAATATTTCTCTGTACCCTCATTCCTGGACCTCCAGGGACACCATCTCTGCCAGGCTCTCCAGCCGCTCCTCTGGGCCCTGCAGGGCCTGGAGCACCACGCTCTCCAGCAGGACCCTAAGTAGTGAAAGAAATAAAAAAAAATTAAAATAGCCTTCACTAACCTAGATATCAACAATATTTTGGTTACAAATAGAGAACATCATTTGAACTTTCAAAAAGGGTTCACGTGTTGCTGAAAAATTTATATGTAAAATCAATTATCTTAGCTTGGATTGCCGTATTGAAAAAATTTTGAAGCAAATGTGTGAATATCACACACTTAAAAAAACAGTATTTAGTGTGCTTAAAAATATATTTATGTGCATCTAAAATCAAATATCTTAATGATATGAAATCATATTTGCATTTAACTTTAGAGTTTTCAAAGACTTTTCAGGCATTTTAGTTTATTGTACTCTTGCAATGATGCTCAGATAAATGATTTCCAATTAACAGATAAGTAAAAGATTATCACAGAGGGTAAGTAAGTGGCTTTAGTTACAAAGCCAAGAAAGTGACTGAACAGAGGATGCATTACATTAAGAATTTTTTTAACTCCAATATATATTTTTCAGATATTTAGGTTTTCATGAATGGGAAATTGTATGGAAGAACTACCTATTTGTGGTGCTAGCATTTAGGAACATAGAAACTAAAGTTATCTACCTTTTCTCCTGGGATGCCATTTGGTCCAGCAGGTCCTCGGAACCCAGGGGCACCCTGAAAATAATGAAAGACAAATATTTCAGTCCAAAGGATTACAATTCTTTTCCATAATTCTTGAGTGGCAAACATTTTTATGTCATAAAGTGCTTTAAACAATATTTTCCACTGAACATTCAACTTAAGAAAAATTGGCTGTCTCACCCTGAAGGTAGTTTTATTTAGGTGACAGTGATGCTGTTTTTCTTTTAGATGCCCCATGGAAAACGTACCCTTTCTCCTGCAGCTCCTGGAAGCCCATTTGCGCCAGGTTCTCCAGGTGATCCATCCTTGCCATCTTCGCCTTTAGCTCCTGGAACACCTGGAATACCGGCCTCACCCTGAAAAAAAAAAAATGATGGTCAAATAAGAAATTATGTCTGAATTTAGTTCGAAGTTTTTACCTGTTTACTTTCTAATTACGTTGCATTTTTTCAAGAAATAACCAGATCTGTTGCAGTAATACTTACGCGTTCACCACGTGGTCCTGGCTCTCCTTTGGCACCATTCTTACCAGGTTCACCCTAAAGTATAACAGAGTCTTGGTTGAGAAACAGGGAGGATTCGACTAACAAAATCATCACCAGAAACACATAATTCAGTTATAAGACAAGAGTGAAGTCAATATAAATTCAACTGAACAGGAGCAAAATTTTGCTATTAATTTTTGTTGATGGAATTAAACTATACCTTTCAGTCAACAGAGAAAAAACAATGCAACTTACTGCACCACCTCGCAGTCCAGGAGCACCATTAGCACCGGGTGGTCCTGGAGGACCCCGGGCTCCCATCAGTCCAGGAGCTCCGGGAATGCCAGCGGGACCCTAAAAACAAACCAAAGACACTACATTAGTCAAACTTGAACATTCTTTTATGAATATCTCACTTAAATATCACAAATCTATTGTCATGCAAAATGCAAAAGAAGCCAGTAATGTGTGGACGAGATAAGGGTGAGGAGTGGGAACAACTTACCATTTCGCCTTTACCACCAGGACTACCACTACTCCCAGGAGGGCCCTAAGTATACAAAAAACAGTTAATGTATTAATAGTAATGCAAATAGTTCGTATATATTTGAAGTTGTTTGTGTGGTAATTAATGTATTGGCGAGTGTTATGCTTTGTAGAGATTAAGTGAATCCTCCAACTATAACACAACATATGAAATGTAGTCAAAAGATTCATCATTATCTAAACAGATTAAAGGTAATATGTACTTGGTATAAATTATTAAATGATACATAAATAGAAGAGATTTTGAAATTGGTTCTTCTCTGAATTTTTATGATTGGTGATTAGCTTGGGGCACATTCTTGAAAGCATCAGAAAACTATTCTATCTTCTATTCTTTTATATAAACATAAAAAATCGTGAATTCTGAAATAGTGCAACAGTCAAAAACTATCATTTTTACTACTAATCAAATCAGTATGTGTCACAGGAGGATCATTTTAGAGCACTAAGCAACAACTTTTTCAAAGTAATTTTCACTGATAGCCATATTGAAGCACATGCTTTCATGGAGTAAGTGTAGCAGCACTCTCCCTCTCAACTATGATACTTACAGGAGGACCTTGAGCACCAGCATGTCCCTGAGGTCCAGGTTCTCCTCTTTGTCCAGGGGCACCATTTGAACCAGGAGACCCTGCAGGTCCAACTTCACCCTAATGGTAAAACCATATGTAGTCAGTTCCTCTCACCACTTCTACTCACTTAGCCACTTCACCCTTCAGTCCTATTTAAACCCATCTCCCAAAGGTTGGAATAGTAGGACTCTATACTGCAGGTAAAGCAAGGAATCATTCATCATAAAGGCAGAGAAAAATGTAACTATGTGTGTGATTGTGTTATCAGTTTCCTGGAAAGAGTCTCGGGAAAAAAAAGAAGGCATCAGAAGAAATATCAATAGTTGAATGCTAGGGACTACACCTCTTTTAGAATCAAGAATAGGGCTTTAAAGACATGTATAGATAAAAGCTATCCATTTGACTGATTTAAAAAATCAGTTGCAAGAAACAATCTAGTGCTTTTCTCTTGTCTCCAACATATTTTTATACCCTTCTGTAGAAACTCATATTTACCTTAGCACCAGGGGATCCAGGGAATCCAGCAGTTCCAGGAGGACCAGGAGGGCCCTAAAAAAATGAAATACAATTTCAAGAGCTCCTTTTCAAACAAATGAAAGCCAGAATACTAGTAAATAAGTAAGCACATATAAAGAAAAGAAGACATTTATGCAGATAAAAAAGATATTCATACTTTATGGATATTATATGGAGAAACAATGTGGTAAAATAAGAAGAGAGTGAAATCTAAAATTAGAAATTCTTGGTTTCTCCCTACTTTGCCATGAATTCCATGACTTAGTGCAGATTACTTTTCCCTGAGCTTTTGTATTCAATTTTACAACATGGAGGTAACATCTATTTTATCCATTTTGTAGGGGTCTTTAAAGTGCCATGTCTTATATAAGATGTTAACTAACACTGAGAGCACCATTAAATGTTAGCAGTTGGTCAAGCAGAATGAATGTCAGAACCTAGATTTTGCTTATGGGCTCAGTGTCAGTTTTAATCATATGGATATATACAATATTGAGTATTGGGGCTATGATACTTTTTCACTTTTTAAATTATAAAAACGGTCAATAGAGATGCTAATGTGTGTGTTAGATATATACATATACATATATGTATATACCTGAGTGTGTGTGTATATATATAATATTAAATAATCCACAATCCATAATTTCTCATTACCCTACAACAAATAAGAGATAGAAAGTTACTTACTGGTTGACCATCACTGCCTCGAGCACCGTCATTACCCCGAGCACCCTAAAAAGAGAAGTTTACATTAAATATCTATTTAATTCTGAATGACTGGTCATGAGTAATATTTTGACTAAAATTCTGACTCAAGTGAGCTGAGTTTTCTTCAAGTACGTTAAAATCTGCTTACTAATTATATATTTCAAAGTCAATATATTGTAAAGACAATTCTGATATATACAGCAACAATCAAATGTAGAAGGATTGGAATCTGTGTTTTCAGGACTGAATGCAGATGTAATGGCTCTAATTGCATATGAACAGTTAACACAAAAATTCTCAATAGAGATAATTGGAAAACATTTATTCATTTCCTTTTAACTATAGCCAAAATGTTATCACAGTATCGAGTATAATTTTGTAGGAGGGTCTTTTTTCTAACGTATTTTTACAGCCTGGAATTTACTGAGACACTAATCTGTCACTTTGGGTTGTAATTGTGCGATGTTAATTGTGCGATGTTAGTAACAATACTCACCGCGGCTCCAGGAAGTCCTGGCCGTCCTCTCTCACCAGGAGCCCCTCTTGGACCCTAGAGAGTAATATTGAAATATGGTCTTACTCTAATCCTGACATGTGTAAGAACAGTTGGGGTGGGAGCAAAGACAGTTTTAGGTAACAATGAGGTTAATAATAAAACTGAAAATTATGCATAAGAAACATAATTACCATGGGTCCAGGAGCTCCATTTTCACCTGGAAGACCATTTTCACCCTAGATACATATAAAATATGTTACTATTTTATACAAGAGGAAGAAAATATTATTGATTTTTAAATACAGAATATTATGGAAAAGCTTATGGAGCCTAGAAAAAGATATACATTTTAACAATATTAATTTTCTGTTAGTATTTTATTTACCAGAAATCTCAATTTCTGAATTTAAAAACTTAAAAACTAAAGAGAAGTAATTGATAAGTTATACTAATATGCTCAACTATTTCTAATCTAGACTCTTCAAGTTATCAGTTTTCATGGAAGCGTTAATAGAATATCTCAATTAGTTATCATTATTCATACCTAATAGGTAAAGTTCGGGTAAATTTCAGCAAACAAGTTAAGCCTCACAATATGAATCTTAAATGTAGCTTTAATATTTAATGAATTTACTTATGAAAACGTGATTTTGTTGTGATTTACCTTTAATCCAGGAGCACCTGTTTCACCCTTTTCTCCATTTCGTCCATCAAAGCCCTAGGGAATGTATAAAAATAGCAAAATTATTAAAATCTGTTCATCTAGAATGATTGATAAAGTTTACATTGAATTTTTCTAATTGGTCTTTATAACACTACTTGCAAAATTAACTTAAATAATTTAAAACTTGTTTAAAGGGGTTGAAGATATTTCATACTGATTTTACAGCAGGAAAACATGAACTAACTAGAAAGTGCAATGTAGTCTGATAAGAAAGTTGCCTTAACTATAGAGTAGCAAACATGAGTTTCATAGATTTTGTTATAATTAAGTTAATAGGTTATAGGCACAGTTGCTTGAATGTATGAAATGTTTTGCATAGAATAAAGTTGTTCAACTCAATCTATAAATCATATTAAGTCAATAAAAACATAATTCATAAAATGTTTTTATTTTTCTGATAGTGGTAGTAAGAAAATATTTTTCAAGAGTATTTTATACACTAGAAATCAACTCCTTTATTTTGCAAAAAATGGCTACTTTGGTCAACAAATAAACTTGGTAGACTTAAAAATTTCAAATTAATTCATTGTCAGAATCATCCTTTTGGGCACATAATTGTCCAGTTAAATTGGTTAGTCAAGTAAACATAGCCCAGTGGAATACCTTGTAAATAACTTAGAAACTCTACTTACTCTGTGTCCTTTCATACCAGGGAATCCAGGTATCCCAGCTGGACCTTTGATACCCTAAAAATAATGAATGAAAAAATATTAATGAACCTTCAAATAGAATCACAACCTAGTAGTAAAACACTTTCTGTTTTTAAGTTTAGTTCAATCGAATTACATAATAGTTTTCAAGCAAAGTTTACTCCAATTAATTTATTAGATGCTGAAGACTTACTGGAGGTCCAGGCAATCCTCGCTCTCCAGGTCGTCCGGGTCTACCTGATTCTCCCTAGGTAGAGAAATAAAGAATACATAAGTGCTCATGTATGACAAAATACATTGTAGACAATAAGCAAAATGATTACTTTGTATTTTTCTCATGAAGGATTCATTAAAATGGTCACACAAAATGTATAGTTGAGATCAGCTTTCTTGGTGGAAGGCATGAGGAAGACCTTTCTCACTTTGATATAAGCTTATAAAGAGATAATGCAGGTGCTTCTAATCACTGAAATAATATAACCCTTCCTCAACCCAGTAAAAAGAATTTGTCATTGGGGATTAAAAGGGAAAGAAAGAATGCCATTGAATTGAAGGTGTCTGCAAGTTCTCAAGTTCATTACATAGTGGTATCAATTTCATCATTACAAGAGGCAGGCAAAGACACTTATTTCCCCTCCAGTTAAATAATATATTCAGTGGATGAGTCTTCTTAGCAGTCAAAAACCACTTTAGGGATTTTATTCTAGAATTCAACAAATGATAAATATATGTATAGGTATGCAAATACTGTATAACTACTCAAAGATTAGTATTAGCTAAAATGTTGTTAAGACAACAATATTTTGAATAACATTTTTTTCTTCTGGGATTCTGACATAAAGCATATACTGTTTAGAATACCCCAAGTTAAATTTTGCTGTATTCTTATTTAATTTTTAAAAAACTTACATCTTTTCCAGCAGGACCAGATGGACCCATAGCACCAGGAGGTCCTGGAGGGCCCTGAAAATAAGGAAATAAAAAAATGAATATATTTGTAAGTTTTTCTGTTACAATTTATTATTAAACAGTGTATGTATTCCTGGAAGGAACCTCATTTTAGAAAATCCTTTTAATGTTTCTCATGATGAAAATGATACTTACTGAGTTAATATTATACCTCTATTACATCAACTTACTGTTAATAAAAATTGAAAACATCATATATCTGTATTTTATATTACACATGTGTATTCATAAATTCAAATGTATTTCTACATGTTTTGAAATATTAAATATATCTGAATATAAAGGTATTTCTAAATTTCATGAAATATTGTATTTAAATAATTATTTTACCTGCTTATTTACAGAGCATATCCTTCTAAAGGACTCTCTTAGATTATGTTTATTTCTACTGTCTAAGATATATGCATATGTATGTTTATATATGTAAATATATATAATTATATTTATCAGTAGATTAGATATAAGAGTGAACTGAGTGGTTACAGAAAATAAATAAACAAATTCTAATTTGTATCAGCTCTGGGAAGTGGACTATTTTGATGGCTAATGATGAGAGAATTCCTTTATTAACTAGTGTCTCTAAGATAGTTAAACAATTGAAAGAGTCCAAAAGACTCGATAAAATGCTATTTGTTATTTGCAAATTTAAGGGTAAATTTAATCTTCATTCTGTAAGGGCCTATACTTGTTTTAGAAAACAAAGGTAGGTTCCATATAGAATGATCAACTTATATATACATATAAATTTAATTGTTACTTACTGCAGGACCAGCTTGTCCAGGTTCACCAGGGGGTCCTTGGTATCCTGGAGATCCCTAGTGAGTAGAATATGTAAATATTTTAAAAGTAACAAAATCTTCATATAATTCATTTACATCTTGACAGTAAGAAATCATGATTGTGAATGTAATCAGCAAATTTTACTCCAGTTTATAAATATTGAGACCAAATTTTTTTCAGATCAGAATGAAGTTAATGCATTTCATTGCATTCATTGCAATCCATCGAAACTGAATGGTTTTGAACTAAAAGCCATATCACATGCAAATTAATGCGGTTTAATTTTACCAGGGTTTTAATTGCCAATAATTGTTGGTGGAAAGGAATTAAATATGGAATTCTATCTTTGAAGCCTTAATCAGTTTCTTGGTTATGACTTCTCTAGTTAACTGGGATTATGCATGCTGGAATGGCTGAATTACAGCAGAATATATACCAATTTGATTTTTCTAAAAATGAAGAAGAAAATACCACTAATGGCTATACTTACAGGGGAACCAGGATGACCAGATGTACCAGGGGGACCGGGAGGGCCTGGGGGGCCCTGGAATGTGAATTTGAATGAAAAACAAAATAAATGAATGCAAAATACACTTTATCCAAGCTTCAAAACAATGTCACTTGCATTGTCAAAACTGTGAACAAATATATCTCATCTTTTGATAACTATTCATGAGATCTACAATGGTGATCTTAGCAAGCAAACATTACTGTAATGAAATTCTCACAGATTCCATATAAATTATTAATAAATGTTATAAAATGTTGTCTTGAATTCCTAAGGAAGGGAATTAAAAATCTGGAAAAATTAGTACACAATGCTATGAAAATCCCTGCAATGTTAGGATTATATTGCACTGGTGAAGAAGCAATTTCTTGCTTGCCAGCCAAACTCAGTGCAGAAAAACATTTATTGGCACACTACAAATCCTATAATCAGTTATCTAAAATAATAATGTAAATCAACTATAAAGTCCATAATTATGTTGATATATCTATCACAGTTAATTGACATAGAGATTTATATGGTCACACAAGAATCATCATACACAGGACAATTGATTGATCGTTGTTCAGAAATACAGATTAAACTAGAAAACCTTCAGCATGCTGAAAACCGTATGCTTCACTTTTGTAACATGCTGTTTGTAAATACTGATAGCAAATTTATAAAACAATAGCTTGTATATTTCCTTTTTCTCTTATAAAGACTTTACTGAAATGTTAATAACTGTTGACTTTGGTTTTTGCTTTTTAGTAAAAAGTTTATATGTGATTAAAAATTGGATTAATAATGTGAATGAGATAGAAAGAACATGATAATGCTACCATTTTCTTTCCCAACCTTATTAGGAATAAGCTATTTTGTACAATTCCATAAAAATACTGAATTCCTAGAAGAGCAACCATTCAAGATTTTACAAACTGGAAAGATAATAAAGCTCTAAAATGCTGAGAAACATTTGTACATACAGCTGGTCCAGGATAGCCACCGAGTCCTCCTACTGCTACTCCAGACTTGACATCATATGAATCATACTGGGGAGAATAGTTCTGTGGCGAGGAGACCAAACAGATATGATCATTTTAATAGACAGTTCATAAGTCTTTTAAAAAGCATTTAGAAGTGCATGCAACATCTAGTAACCACTGATAGGTTTTTGTGTGCCAAAAGATGTGGTATGTATTAACTAATTATCTTGTTTATCCTGTTTTTCTGTAGATTTAGACATTAGATATCCTACAGAAGCATTTTCTTGTGTGATGCACAAATCTTTCCACTGTGTTAAACGTTAGTTTCCCCCAATTTTTCCTATTGTACTCTTACTTCAGCTGTTATTTCTGAGCAGTGTCTACATCATTACAAACATAGGATCATAGGCTGTTTGAGGCCAAAAGAGTCTTGAGATCATATAATTACACCTTCTCATTTTGAGCAAAAAAAAAAATGAAGTCAAATTATTTTTTCAACACTTAATGATGCAAGTAAAATTCATACCCCCTGGATTCTGGTTAATATGACTAAAAGATTCACTCAAAAATGAACATCTCCACAGAAAATAAGTCAAAATTAGTAGAAAGGCTCATATGCTTATTGGATTTCTTTGAAGCTTTTTTTTAAATTCTAAGTTTTAGGTCTAGAGTTAGGTTCTATTTGGTTACTAGAATAAGAATAACTTAGACAATACACTTTGGTTCTCGTTGAATTGCTTTTCAAAAAGCACTTTTTAACCTCACAAAGATTTGTATAATATATTTTCTTATTTCGCCTAATTCCATGCAGCAGAAATTTTGTCATATTTATTTATTTGGTTGTTTTACATGCAGATTTATTTGGTTGCCATGCTTCAGGAGAAGCAAGATATGCTCTGAAGGATTAGCAAGAGCAGTTTCATAGGCAGAAATAATCCTGTTCAATAGGAATATTCACAGTTCTTCAACTTCTTTTTGTCCAAACTTTTAGAGTCTTTGACATTGGTGTTAGTAAGAGAATAAAGTATAGATATAGTACTAACTAAATTATGTAGGTTAATTTTTTTCGTAAGTTGATAGTTCACTTCTTAAACATAATGTGTATGCTATACATCTGCTGAGAAATTGGCAACTTTTCTAAGTATATAGGAGCAATGACATTAGCATTATGAGGACAAATGAATACTTATAAAGCACTTAGAATAGTGCCTAATACATAGAATCACTAAATAAGGATTTATTAAATACATAGAATCAGAGAACAGATACAAAGAACTCATAATAGTGAGATATAATATAGAGTAAAGAAAGAAGATGAACTAGATAGTTTTATGAGGGGATTTTTTAAGTAACGTAATTTGTTATACCTGAGGACCAGTGGGGCATGATTCACAGATTCCAGGGGGGCCAGGAGAACCAGGGGAACCTGGTTGTCCTGGAATACCAGGGTCACCATTTCTCCCAGGAATACCAGGAGGGCCCTAAAAAAAGAGGTAAAAATAAATTAAATAGTGAAAAATCCTGGTGATTCAGAATCATTATCAGATTGTTGTTTCTCCACTTTATAATATTAGGACTCAATATAAGTAATATATTTTCTTTATAACACATATTTTTAATCAAAATCATGTGAATAAGTATAATGTATTCCTTTGTATATTGACCTATATATTTTATTTAAACTGATCATAGGGGTGAAGACATAATATGAAGTTTGGGAAATTGAAATCTTTACATGTACAATTATGGATTCCCAGTCTGTTGTTTGGTGCCATTATTCAAATATGTGGTAATAAAGATAATGTATGATGAAAGTTCAAATTTAGAAAGGGTATGAACAGAAAAAAAGCAAATTCTTACTAGAATTATCATTAGTATTAATTTTATTCTACTGAAGAATGTTTACTTACTGGATCTCCCTTGGGGCCTTGAGGTCCTTGACCATTAGGAGGGCGAGTAGGCTAATAAATGGAAAATAAACAAGTTAAAGAAGACAAGGAATTTGCATATTATTTCTTAACCCAGATTCTAAGCAATACTTATCTTTACATTGAAACGTCCACTTTTTACTTGTAATACAAACATAGCTATTTGACGAACATGACTTTCATTTCTTTTTAGGCTCCTATGATATAAGAACTATTCATGTGTCTAAATATGAATATTGAAGGTGCACAGTTTATCTTTGAACTCACAGCAGTTGGAGGCTGTGGGCAAACTGCACAACATTCTCCAAATGGAATTTCTGGGTTGGGGCAGTCTAATTCTTGATCGTCACATATTATGTCATCACAGAGAACGGATCCTGAGTCACAGACACAAATTTGGCATGGTTCTGGCTTCCAGACATCTCTATCCGCATAGGACTGACCAAGATGGGAACATCCTCCTTCAACAGCTGAAAAACAAGTTAGATGACATGAAGTTTCCTCAGGTTTTGCTGAAATGTGATTTTTGTTACTCTGTCAGGGCTACTAACAATAGCCAAAGTTGAAATAGTTTGAAACAAATAATTTCTTCCTTTCATTAGAAAATTATATTTGTCCTACATAATTTGCTAAGTCACAAGGAATTAATTAAAATATCATATCTGCTTATTATCATAAAATTGGCATACCATAGTCAATTTTCCTTAAGATCAATAGGTATTTTAATTTCATTTATAGTAAGAATTAATATCAATGTATATCACACAAGCATTTAAACATTTATTTATTAATGGTACAATTGAAAATAAGCTTTTCTACCCAATTGCTATTCTTTGCCTTAACAGCAGATGGGAGCATTAAACTAAAAAGATGATTTTGTCACTAACTCTGAAGACTTTCTGGATTTTATTAACCTAGTTGAGAAATTCAGGGGAAAACTGAGCTAATCTTGGCACCATAAAACTCTACCAGATTTTCCTGGGAAAGCTTTAACAGAACTTATTGTGTGTATCGAATGTCACTGTTAGCTCTATTTGGCATTAGTTGGTCAACATGATATGACATAATACATTGTATATCCCATATGGATGTAAAGACATTTCCAAATCACCAAAAAGAAAAGAAAAAGATGTTTTTAAAATAAATATTGGCAAGGAATAAGTAAAAATAATAGGGAAAATATGAATCATAACCATCTGTATTTGTGGCTTAAAATGGTAAAAAAAATTGCTTCAACCAAAATTTTAGACTTGCTTCATAATTATATACAAGGTACTGAAATTTCAGCAACTATTAACTATGAATCAGCTTAGGAACTGCCAAAACAAAACCTGGTCTCAATTCTTAAAGCATTAGTTGTGTATTGTGGTTAAATGCAACTTTAGTTCTTGACGATTGGTATGATAGCTTGCCAGTAATTAAGTAAATAAATAAGTTTCTCAGCATCTGCAAAAATTTTTGCAAACAACAAATGATGCACTGTTCAGTAATTTATATTTTTGTGAGACAGTGAAATTTTTATTTTCTCAAAGCCAAGATATTTAAAATATCTACTGAAGGAGGCCTGCTTCCGAGTAGGTAAGTAGTTCAAAATTAGTTTTTGCTGCCTAGTGGTCAAGAGGCCTTTTAGTGGTCCTAAGATTTTTCCATCTGGGCACGACATGCAGCCACAAAAAATCACCTTTTCAAGTTCTTGTTTCTATATCTTCTCTCTGTCTAGTGTAATAATAATTTAGGTTCATATTTAAATGAGTTGAAATGTTCAGCTGATTTAGTAAATGTTCACCAAAAAGAATTTCAAAACCTAGACTCTAGGGACTACTGAAATTGCTTCCCCCTCTCATTTCCATTTGTGTGTTCTGATACAAATTTAATGATATTGTACAACACACTTGATCTATTTGAGAAGATAGATAATCCATTCTTTCTTCATGTTACAATTTCTCAATGTAGTTTACAGCTAATGAAGGAAAGCTTCATTTTTTAAATGTAATTTTAAGTAGGCAAATAATTTGTTTATTTAGAAAAGTTATTCTAATTCCTCCTCTATGTTTGAATCACATATATGATAACATGGGATATATTTTCTATATACATTTCCTAAGCTTTTAAAGGAGAATTTCTTAATTCTTAGTGAATATAAAAGCTCAATACCAAAATGCTTATCTCAGTGCAAATGAAGTAGGCCTATTTGAATGGTGTTATGGAAAACATATTTAAGAGAAGAGCAAACAGTCATTTACACATTGGTGTGAAGAGTAATAACGTAGGTGAGTCTATGCATTAAACTCATTACAGAACTGGCATCTTATATTTAAGTACTAAGTTCACCAGTTTGCAGAAAAGGTCTGAAAATTTGGGGTTGGAAGATTGTGCCATAAAATTACATGGAGCACTGTAATTACACTGGTTCCTTTTCTCAAAATGAACCACTTAAAAATTTTCTCCAAATCAACTTTATATGAAATGTTCCTACAGATTAGTTTCAGCTCAAGGTTTTCCCATTAATGATGTGTATTTTAAGCCCCCCAGATCTATCCTCAAAAACATTGTTAGATTGTACGGATGATTCTTTAGATTTTTGCCCCTGGATCAGGAACATCTTTTCACACTTAATACAGCATGTGGGTTATGAAAAACAGCTATTGAATACTAAAGGCCTATTAAAGACAAATGAAGATAATAGTTAAAGCTAGGCTCAAACATTTCCTATTTTAAGTATCTTCTATGTGTTCTTGATCTGCCTAGAAATTAACATAAATGCTTTTCCTTCCTGTGTATTCATCCTCCTCTGTTTATGTCTCATTAAGGGTGTCCTCACATCATTAGAAATACAGTACTTTCCATTTGTTCTGCTAATTACTAAATAAATGAGCACAATATTGACATACTAAAATTGTAAATGAGCTAGTTAAAATTGGGTTAAATGCAATGTTGTAAAAATTAAGGTTGTTATTTAGCTTATTGTTTCCAAATTTTACTAGACACATGTTATAGTACTCTTTAAAAAAACACAGTGGCCTCAATATAAAGATTATTTTAGTGCAATTTAAAAAATTGTCATATTCTTAAAATATTTTTTCCTCTCACCTGCACATGACAGTCAACATGGTGCGTGCATGTTTTGTTTTACTTTAGAAAGTCATATTGTTTTAAGTTAAAGAAGAGAGTTGGAATGCTTAAAAAATAAGAATTAATGCAACTTTGTTTATTGCCATAAGTTATTTCATATCCACTTGAAATAAATTTGGCTGTCCTGAAAAGTCAGTTCCTGTAAAAACTTGTGGCTGAAAATTAGCCCTTTCTCTGTTTTTCTACCTTAGTTACCTTTGCTGAAAAAATAGAGTTTTGTGTAGCTTCCTTTATCGTTCCATGCATGGCAAAATATAGTTAGCAATATATTCTACTGAAAGTTAAGCCTCTTAGATTAATGTTTCATGGACCTAGTAATATGTGTGAAAATCATGGCAAAGTCAAAGTCAAGGAAAAGAATATTTTGTTTCTAGAGGAATAAAAATGCTCTAGTTAGCCATTTGCAACATTTAGATATAGAATAGAAAATGGGATTTTGAAATAAGTCATCTCATATTATTCTCTTCATTTCTTAGGAATCTGTATTCAGAGTAGCTTTGGTTAAAATAATAAGTTAATTTTTCCCAAAAATATTAAATAAAAGGCAAATATTTTCATTTTACTATTGGAAAGTAATGGACTTTCCAATTACTTCCGTTATTTTAGTTGTTTAAATCTCTCTGTTCCAATTTGTAATTAATTTTAAATTCCGTCTCCCATGTCATTTGGTGTTTCTGTTCCTTACTACAAAGTACAATTCTGAAAGAAATTTACTTGTGATCACACAAGCAATGTATTAAGCTCAATCATCTCCTTGTTGGGATCTATAATACAAAACATATTGAAGCTAACACATGACTTAAACCACTCTTAGCTGCTTCTTTCCTAGTTTTCTATTTTGGAATTTTAGAGAAAAATAAAGCCAGATAACATAGTTTTGTATTTTTAGGTGTGCATAAAGCTTACTTTTTTGCTATTCTTTTGTTTCCATTCTTTATGTTAAGTTATGCTGACTTGAAGAAATCATATTGTTAGGACAAAAAATGCATATTATGTTTGTCTTAATACTATTTTTGGAGCAATATTATTATTATTATTCCCTAAAGCACCTAATTAAATTAGTTAATTTGGCTTGAATGAAAAGTGAATATTTTTTCCTCTTCTATTCTTACTGAATCCTTATCTGGGAAAAGATGTATAATCTGAAAATCTAAGAATCACAGATATGTTTTGTAAATTATCATAATTTATTTTCATTACTTTAGAAAGCTGAATATTTTGTACATGTGGGTATTTGGCATTCATACAGTTTCCAATTGAAATATGTTTAGTTTGCCTTTTAAATGATACTGTTTGGAAAACATAAATTTTAATAAAATATTTTTTCTGCTGCTTATATCTTTATTACAATATCTTAAAATATGTTAGATTACTTAACAAAAAGGGCTCTGAAGAAAGTATCTGGAGACATTCTAGGTGAATAATTTTAATTTAAAAGCACTGTTTTACATAGACAAAGAAGATTTTATTTATTCCTGCTACCTCCAGGAAAAAAAATTGATAAATTATCAGTTGTAGATATTTTCTTGTTTCATATTTTATAGATATATGATTTTTCAATCTCCAGTTAGAAATGTCCTTTAAGTTGATTAATATTTTATCCTGTTAAAAATAAAAATAATTAGATAATTAGAAAATTTAAAGTATCTTATATCTAACCAACAGCAATTGCATATATAATAAAATCTGCTTAGTGTCAAATTATAAAAACATTGAAGAGAATATATTCTACTTATTACAGTTGGCAAACAACTGTAAATTGTATAGTTTTATAAATAAAATTTTACATTTCACCATCCTTATCACTAAGTTACTAAGTACTTTAATTTCTTCCTTAGAGTAATTTTATTTGCCAGCATTAGTAAAACTAGTGCTAAGTAGAGCTTGTCTAGTACCTCCTAACTTGCAGGCACTGCTCTGAGTAGTTTGGATATCTATTTTGCTTCATACTCCCAAAGGCCTTATGAGCTTAGAGCTGTCATAATCCTAATTTTACAGATGAGGAATCTTAACCACAGAAACATTAAGTAATTTCCCAAGGTTACACTGTCAGGGTAAAAAAGAAGATTTGAATGTAAGAAGACTTCCTCTAAATTTGATACTCTTAATTACTACATTCTATTTTCTTTCTGCTATTTCAAAACTGAATATGATTAAAGAAGTCAACTCCAAAGCTCTGTCCCATATAATTTTTTATCACTGCAAGGTTAAAATCTGAATCTAGATAGGTATAATTTTAAGGAGAACAGTTCTCTGCAAAATATCTTTTCTATCTGGCCTCAAAACAGGAAGATGCCATCTGGAGTTAAATTCTCCTGTTTATTTTCTCTTGACCTTA